ATTCTGGTTTCGGCTCCATTTGGGGCTTTGGTTGCAACTCCATTTGCGGCTCCATTTGCTGTTCCCGTTGCAGCTCCATTTGCAATTCTGGTTTCGGCTCCATTTGGGGCTCCAGTTGCAGATCCAGTTGCAATTCTAGTTTGACTCCATTTGCAGCTCTGGTTTCAGCTCCATTTGCAGATCGTTTTCGATTCTGGTTTTGGCTCCATTTGCAGCTCCATTTCTGGCTCCGGTTGCAGATCCATTTGCGATTCTGGTTTCAGCTCCATTTTCAGCTCCAGTTTTGGCTCCATTTGTAGCTCCATCTGCAGCTCCAGTTTCAGCTCCATTTTCAGCTCCGTCTGCAGCTCCGGTTGTAGAGCCAGTTGCGATTCTGGTTTCGGCTCCGTTTGCAGCTCCACTTGCAGCTCCGGTTGCAGATCCATTTGCAATTCTGGTTTCGGCTCCATTTGCTGTTCCAGTTGCGACTCCAGTTGCAGTTCTGGTTTCGGCTCCATTTGTGGCTCCAGTTGAAGATCCGGTTGCAATTCTAGTTTGACTCCATTTGCAGCTCTGGTTTCGGCTCCATTTGCAGATCGTTTTCGACTCCGGTTTTGGCTCCATTTGCAGCTCCATTTCTGGCTCCGGTTGCAGAGCCAGTTGCGATTCTGGTTTCGGCTCCATTTCTGGCTCCAGTTTTGGCTCCGTTTTCAGCTCCGTCTGCAGCTCTGGTTGCAGATCCAGTTGCAATTCTGGTTTTGGCTCCGTTTGCGGCTCCATTTTTGGCTCCGGTTGCAGATCCAGTTGCAATTCTGGTTTTGGCTCCGTTTGCGGCTCCATTTTTGGCTCCGGTTGCAGATCCAGTTGCAATTCTGGTTTTGGCTCCGTTTGCGGCTCCATTTTTGGCTCCGGTTGCAGATCCAGTTGCAATTCTGGTTTGGCTCCATTTGCAGCTCCGGTTTCGGCTCCATTTGCAGATCATTTTCGATTCTGGTTTTGGCTCCATTTGCAGCTCCAGTTTCAGCTCCATCTGTGGCTCCATCTGCGGCTCCAGTTGCAGATCCAGTTGCAATTCTAGTTTCGGCTCTGCGGCTCCAGTTTCAGATCCATTTGCTGCTCCGGTTGCAGACCCAGTTGCATTTCTGGTTTCGGCTCCATTTCTGGCTCCAGTTTCGGCTCCGTTTTCAGCTCCATTTCTCACTTCAGTTTTGGCTCCATTTGCTCCTCCGGTTGCAGCTCCAGTTTCGGCTCCATTTGTGGCTCCATTTGCATTTCTGGTTTTGGTTCCTTTTACGGCTCTGGTTTCAGCTCCGGTTTCAGCTCCGGTTGCAGCTCCAGTTTCAGCTCTGGTTTCGGCTCCGGTTTTGGCTCCAATTTCAGCTCCGGTTTCGGGTCCGGTT